ACTTATCCCAGACACAGATTCCTGCTGTGCCTGATCCCCCGGAGCTGAGCGAGGGGCTGGAGAACAGCAGAGAAAACTGATCCCAGATATTCTGCCTCCAAGCAGGCTGAGAGGTGGGGCTGTGCAGCAGTGGGAAGATTCCCAGACAGGGGCAATCTGGGAGTAAGAAGCCAAACCTGGCATCTCCACTGGCAGAACTGGATTAATCTCATTACACTACTTGGCAAAAAATAGAACTCAGAAAGCCTTGGGTTGGAAGGGACCTTAAAGCTCATCTCGTTCCAACCCCCCTGCCACGGGCAGGGACACCTTCCACTAGACCAGGTTGCTCCAAGCCCCAAAAATACTGTTAGTTTTCTAACAGAAAAATTATTTAGAATTGAAAACCCAACTGTTTCTATTTTAGTACAACGTAATTTGGAAGTTTCATCCTCTGAACTCAGAAATGCCCCAAAACCTTTTGAAAGATGTTCCATCCTTGAGATGAGGAATCCCAAGAATGCAAAGTCTGAGAGGTAGGAAAAGGCAACAGTGGCTGAAAATTCTGGTAATTTGATGATATTTGCTGGACATCTTAATTTAATCCAATCTAAATTAAGATTTCAAGAACATTTCTATGTTTCATGAGAGAAAAATGAAGGGTAACTAACAGATTGACCTCATGCAATAAAGTGCAGTAAAAGCACGTTGTGGAAAGGAAACACCTCTTTAAATTCTGAAACTGAAGAGCTGATTTTAAATACAGCAGAAACAAGATCAAGAAGATGTAGCTGATGAGCTGGTGCAAATCTAAGGCTAATTCTACTGTTTTGTGTTGTGACACATCAGCTTAGAGTGACTATTACGATTTACTTAACTACAAAAGAACTGCTGATTTATTCTGATTTCCTACAGGTAATGTATTATTCCTTTTAAAATGTAAATTTTCCCTTTTAACTATGGATTGAACATCATTCAATCCCACTTTGCAGCACAAACCTGACAAAACCATCAACCTAACAAATACTTCAGCACAACTGCCTGGTGTAAATATATGAATCAAGTGATAGAGCAAATCTAACTAATGAGCAGCAAGTCTCACACACAAATAAATGTCTCATTTCAAGCTGCCATTCAACCTGATACCAGCAATGGAATGCAGAGCCCTTAAAACCCACGTTCTGCCTCATTCTTTAGCAAACACACTCACAAATTTCATCCAGATTTTACATGCAGAACAGCTGCTGACAGAGCAAACAGTAACCAGGGAAGAGCGTGGTCTAGGAGAAAAGCAAATTTCCTGAAGACATGAAAGAACTACCTGGATTTCCTGGTCAGATGCTTTTAATTAGGCTACAGCTAAACAAGCTGCTAGTCCATGTTTTCACAGAAACTGTAAAAAAAGATTTGGACTAAATCTGGAAAGATTAAAAATTAGTATAAACTATCAGCATTGGTAATACAACTCTACAGGTTAAAACAAGAGAAGAATACTTCACATGTGTTGGTCCTAATACAATCTAAACACAAGTTTAAATTTAAAACACTTCAAATTAATTCTGAAAATAAAAAAATTACCTTTGGAAAGTACTTGGACAGTCCCATGTAAGCGAGTTGTAGAGTAAGAAATGGTGCAAATATTGACTGAAGAAACAGAAAAGAATACACAAAAATTAACTTGGTCAGAAGTAACAGCGAAGAAACACAGAAATTTAATGCTTCATAAGTCATAAATTAAAATTAGTAGGTAAAAAATAATTCATGGAACACAGCAACCCTATTCTTGAATACTACAAACCTAAGTAGACAAGTTACATGACAAAAATAAGGTTCTGCCCTATTTGGAGCCTAAAACCCTGAAATCCCAGAAGGGAGCAGCAGTGAGTGAAACTGAGCCCAGGGATCCAGGAGGTGGCAGGTTGTGCCTGCCACACATCTCTGTGCTGTTCTGGCAGGCACCAGGAATACTGAGAATTACTTTTCTCAGACTGATAAATGAGTAGGATCTACTTATCTTGGGACAAATGTTACTGTTCCTAGAATTACAGAATGACTGGGGTTGGAAGGACCTTAAAGTCCATCTCATTCCAGCCCCCTGAAGGGCAAGGACACCTTCAACTAGACTAGGTTGCTCCAAGCCCTGTCCAACCTGGCATCAAATACTTCCAGGGATGGGGATTCTTATTCTTACTCTATTACTCTTTTGTACACTCCAAACTAGGGGAGCAGCTGACTCATATGCTCACAAAGAAGTGAATAAATTTGCAGGGGACTTAAACTGCAACAACTACTCCAGTGCATCTGCCCTCAACCACTACAGACCAAACACCTGCTGCTCTCAGTGGTTACACAGTGGCTGTGTGGAAATGTAGCGCCTGAAGTTCCCACTGGGTCACTACCAACAGACTTCAGCCCCAGATGAAGGGTATTCCCCAATAAATTTGCATCAGCAGAGCAGGACTGCTCCCCTGAACTCACCAGGTACTTGCACACAAAAGCCCTGACCACGACGGCGAGCAGAGCACATCCCACCAAGCGGAAAATGCGGAAAGAGTCAAACTCCTCCCCGGCACTCCCGTTCTCCTGGCTCGGCTTCTCACTCATCAGCTGGTTCCTCAGCTTCAGAGCCTCGTCAAACCTGGACAGGTACTGCTCCAGCCCGTGTCTGGGTGGCCGTGGTGCAGCCTCCGGGGGCAGGTCGCCCCGGTGCCGGTGGCGGAGCTCCCCTGTGCCCTCGGTGACCAGCTCGGGGGCTTTGCCGAACAAGTCCTTGTCCCCCCTGAGCTCTGCCAGGCTCCCTGCGTGGTCAGCAGAGCCTGGCACACTGCACATGGAATCTCCAAGCACGATTCGCTTGGAAACCGAAGGAATGGGGAGGGAGTTGGATTTATCCTGCTCGTGCTGCAGCTTTGACTCTGCGTGACTGTCGTCATCTGAAGGAGAGAAACAGAAACACGCAGTTACACACAGCAGGTACGTGGAACAACACTTTGGCCAAAGTGGACTGGGGTCCTGGGTTGATGTCTTTGCTTCCCAAGTGAAAAGACAGGACTAAAGAGGGCATTGCTTCACACACAGACACGGGACAGGCAGCTGGGCAACGCAGGCCACAAGGTGAAGCTGTTGGTCAGCAATGGAGAAATTAAAACACTGTACTTCCCTAAGCAACAGCACTGCCTGCACAGGAGGAAAGACCTTGTTCCAAGCACATAGAGCAACATAAAACAAAAGACAAAGATTTGCAGAAGGTGAATCACCCAGGAGAGCACTGAAACCTGACAAATGAGCAGGCAAAAAAAGTGCACCTTGGCTGCCAAATACTCCAAAATTGTCAGGATACATAAAACTCCCTAACACTGTCTTTTTAGTGTTAGAAAGCAAGGCATTACTTCATTTCTAGCCAGAGGTGTAAGACAGATTTCAGTCCCCACACAGACCCAATACATAATTTTTCTACCTATTTTTACATTTTTAGCAAACAAATCAATGCTCATTGGTTCTTAATTACATAATTCTCTTTAGTTAGTATTCTGCCTTTTATTAGGCATTACTTTCTGCTTTTTATGATAATTAGTTCATATCTTTAGTCTTTTTAGTATCTTTTTCTCTCAGAAGGGACTTTGTATCACATCTATGGAGTCTTTGTTACCCTTCTTCTTTATCTGCTGATTTCTGCAAAAAGCCCTTACAGTTCATAAATCTTGGGTTCCAGATGTCCAGCTTCAACAATACATCTTTCTCTCTCCCAGGCTTTGTTCATTGAAGTATTTCAAGGTTAACTTTTAACAAAACTTACAGTTTTAGTACTTTTCCCAAGCTGTGTTCCCACAAAAGTAGCTTATGACAACTTTCTGCTAAACACTGGCTAAAAGTGATTTAAGGCCTAACACAGCACGTATGATTAATTAAAACAACTAACAAAAGGTTAATTAAAGCTATTAAAAATTACAAAAGTTGTACCATTTCCAACAATTTGGCTTGTTTTCTATTGCCAGAGGCAGAGCAGTGTTAATCTGCTCTGTATGAAATCTCAAGACCCATCTTAGAGCAAGAGAGGTGATGGCAGAGAACAAAAGCCAAACCAAGAGACACAACAGGTCTGGTCCTACCAGAGAGCGAGAACCAATGCTTAAGGAGAACTTCTCAGTGTTAAATCACATTGATTCATGGCTCACGGGCATCCTTGTAAACCAAAATCTGAGAACTCTTTCCTGACAAGATGGTCAGCCTGCTTGAAGCATGTGGAGAAATATAAACGACCTACCTATGATTCTGCAAGAAAATCCTGCATGCCCACCACAATCGTCCAACGCCTGGTCATTACCCAAACGGGAGACAACCGACTGCCAGAAAAACCCAGCTACGAAAGCCAGGAGTAAATGACTGGAAACGTGGGGGAGGCTCATCCTTTCTCTAACTAAGAAAAACCACTTGCAGGGGAGGCTCACCCTTTCTTCAGCTAAGAAAACCCACTTGCAGTGAAATGACCAGGGACAGTGCCGGCCCCAAGTCCCGACGTTCCGGTGACACACGGATCTTACCCGAGGGCGGGTCCCTCGCAGGTCGCGCTGCTCTCAGAGCATCCCTGCGAGGGCAGGCGGCACTGAGGGACCCTGGGGAGCCAGCGGGCTCTGTCGCCGCCGCTCCTGCCCGCGAGGGGAGCGCGGGCAGCGCTCAGGGCGAGAGGAGCCCGAGGCGTCCCCGCTGCCCCGCGCGGAGCCCTCACACCACCCCCGCCACCCGGCTCACCCTTGCCGGCCGCGGGCCGGTGGAAGCCCATGATGCGGTTGATGCGCTCCTCCGAGTTCATGAGCAGCTTCCTGCGGCGCAGCTCGGCGCGGCGCTGGGACGCCGAGAGCCCCGCGGGGGGACCCGGCGGTGTGGGCGCCGCGCCCGCCCCGCTGTCCGCCATCCCCGGCTCCTCAGGCCCGGCACCGCGCCCGCCCCGCGCACTGCGCAGGCGCGGGTACCGCCCTGCCCGCCCGCTGAAGCGGGCGCCGCCATTTTGGATAAGGGCAAGAGAAAGGCGGGACGCGCTGGGGGAGTCCTGCTCCCCGCGCTCTCTAACGGCGCGCCGCCAGCACTAAAGATGGCGGGCGCGGCCTCGGAGGTGACGTCACAGCTGTGTGAGGGCGGGAAGGGGCGATGGCGGCGCTGAGGGGACGGGGATGACGGGGCACCCTCAGGGCTGGGCAGGGGTTGTGCAGCGCACACGAGCGTGTAGCACACACAGGGCAGCCCCCCAATCTGCCGCCGCACCGCTGCGGACTGACTGTGCACACTGAGCAAAAACCAACACACAAGGACCGCTCCAGGATTCCAGAATTGCCGTGACATTACAGAACTCGGAGTGCATTCAGTTCTTTCTAGGAAGACGCATAATACTCATGTTTATGCACACTAAAAGTCCATCACACCTCTCCTTGTGTGACAGGTGATAAAACTGTACCACATTAATTCTTCCTCTGCCTGAACACTGCCACAGACAACCACTGGGCGACAGCACCCGAGAGCCAAACCAAAGGAGCGAGGAGAGGGATCATTTCCATCAGTACTTCACATAATTGCCCTCCACATCCTCGACACCGAATGACTTTGCTCCTCAGCACCCCAGACACTTCAGTTAGGAACGGGAGATCCCTCACTGAGGGTTCCAAAGCCCAGAGCCACAGCCGGAGCGGTGGAGCTCAGCAGCAGCAGGACAATGGGATGTGTATTGGGGGGAAAAAAAAACCCCAGCGCTGACAAGTCCAATTAATATTTCAACAAAACTGAATGACAGAATTCTGTATTCAAAAACAGTTAAATACAGAGATCCGACTACCAAGCTCATGCATTAACTCATCCACGATGAACCAGAAGCAGCGGTGACAACAGCCCATAAAAGAATTGGCAAGCGTAAAATGGAAATGACTTTTACAAAAAGGTGCTGAAAGAACGGGATGTTAAATGAAGATACAGGATCACCTACAAGAAAACTGATCACTATCTTGGAATGCTGCTGAAGGCTAAATTCCAACCATCACTGTCAGCTGGCTCGTGAGACCAACTTCTTGATTGATAAATGGTATTTATCTCACTTAATCGAATACATTACTATTTTTATTTATAAGAAAGAAGTGATGGACTTGCATGAGTTCTTTCAATTAATTTTATTGAGTAGCCAAATCTGATAAATTAGCACAGATAAAATAAGCATTTGCATGTGTTACAAATGACTTTTTACAGGAATAAAACAGTGAAAATTACAAACTGTAAAAAGGAGGACAAGTAAATCCTGTCTCAAATTCAGAAGGGGGAAGATTTATAACTTCATACTGAAGATCAAATGTTTGAGTTCAGAAAACAAAGGTTTAATATTACAATATTATACACTACTTTACAAAATTAAATTTACTATAAGGATTACATCCATAATAGTAAACAGAACCTTAAAATCACATTTAATGGTCCCTTAACTTAACAGCCATTCTGCATCTTTGATTAAAATCTGTTAAGAAATTAATTCTAAATAAAAGTGAATCATTCTAGTTATTGCAACACAGTCTATGTGGACTTAGACTCAAATATATTAAATTAAAAACGATAATGAAAGCAAAGTAAAATGGATGGTAACAATGTTGTTCGCTGAACACTAATGTGTCAAATACAGAAATAGCTTAAAAAAAAGTGTTCAACTAGAAAAACAGACACACCCCTACCACACATTTGCAGTGGGAGAGTTTGTCATGCTGAGATCTAAGTACCAGAGCCACTCTTGCCTACTTTTGCAGTTCATCTTCGGTGTCCTCATTTTTCAATGTTATGTAAAAATGAGAAATCCTAGGTAGTGTGTGTGTGTCCATCTGCCCCGTGTTGCCCTTACAGCAGTACAAGTGAACCAGCAGGCCTTCCCCACTGCTAGGGAATAAACTAATACAGAATTTCTTCCAAAGAGAAGAGAACTCCAAGAGGGTTCATCGGACTCATTTATCATGTTTTGCTCTGTCAAACTTAAGGACTCCAATTCAAAGCTGTTAATTGCCACAAAGACAGACATCTTCAGCCATTAGTCTGGTGTACACAAAGCAATGAGGCCACCTCCAACATTTATGTTTCTTAAAAAAAAGTAAGGGATATAGTAGCAAAAATACAGTCATAGTAACAAACAGACTTCAGGTGGGCTGTTAGATGTAAGGATGGTTTTCAACATCGGGGTGATAATATACCCAAAACACAAGGTTTCAGTCAGAACCTATGCAAGTGCAGAGGTTCCATTTATGATTTAAATGAAGAGACCCCTTTCCCCCCTGGAAAAAAAAAAAATCAGACTGTCAAAACTTAAAAAACCTCTTCAGTATGACTAGAAACTGTGCAATTCTCTGAAAAGCTGTTCAAGTAAATATATTCCTGTTTGCTACGGAGGCAGCAGACAGGGAAGCTTAAATTGGTTCTATAATAGGCTTTCCATGCTATTTTAGTCATTGTTCTGAACTTTAGCTTCTTGTGCTCGAGCCACAAGAACAATTTCCCCCAAGGAACTCCTCCCCTGAAGTAAGGCAACTCCTGACAATCACGTGCAGCTACAGCCTGAAATGGGAGCAAATCCTGCCCCAAATGTTGACCCCACTGACATTTGTGTCACCAAATGTAAGTGAACTAAGCACAGTACGTTTGACCACTTACAAGTGTTTTACCTCTTCAAGTTACTTGCCCCAGGAAGCAGGTTTTGCAAGACCTTTAAGTTTACACTCTTAAACAAAAAAAGCAAACCAAGATTTCTCCATATGCAACACTTCCATAGGCATAGGGATACAGCAAGGTAAATACTCTATGTTGGTAGCTATCAAGGATAGCCTAATCTTCAAAACAGAACAACCATCAATACACTTCTATAAAGTTATTTAAATACTTTTTGTATATAAATTTTTGATTCAAGTCTGATGTCACCTTCAATCTGCAGCTCTGGCAGGATCTGAGAGTATATTTAAAGCTTTTATTTGGTGCACAATGGCTTTGTACCTGGGCTCATCACACAGCTACAGTAAAAAACCCCTTCTTTGACAACTTCAGGCATGTCTGCAATGATACAAGAATCTTCAAATGCAATACAGTAATTTTGTTCTTGGAAAAATAATTTCCTATTTTAACATCAGGATGTTCAGTGTTGTCTCTAAATATTCAGTCCAAAGTGCTGCCACACAAACACCAGATCTGAGGGGCCCAACATTCAGTTCACATAAACAAGAGCCAAAAGTCTACTGAACATAAACCAAAGCAATAAATCTGAGATAACCTTCTGTGCCCTTCCCCTGCCACAAACTGAAATTAAAATTACTCCTTCTACTGAAGAGAAGCAAAACTTGCCATCTACCAAGTCTACTCTTGCTGCTGACTCAGCCACCTCATGTAGGGCCCACTCCTCCCCAGGTTTTAAATTAGAATACTGACTTATTAAAAGCTTTATGAATTCAGCCATCTCGTCCAGGTTAAGCTTACCTTTAGTCCTATTAGCCATAATCCAAATCCAAGCACTGGATTCTACACTCCATAAGTATTTGTTCATTTCACAATGAACACTTGTTTCATTGCTACTTTAAGCATTAAGTTGAACATTGAGATGCTCTGTCTGTAATCACTGGATGCACTTAGAAAGAATTTCCCTGCAAATCATGATCAGTATTGTGAGGTTTTATATCTAGCAGCAAAAAAAAAAAAAAAAAAAGGCAAAAAGTTACAGAAATATACATTTTGAACAACAAAGAACTCTTTATTTTACAAAATGTATTTCACCTTTTCAGTATTGCCTTTGTAAATGTACTTCATGCTGCAACTACTTACAGTAAAAACACGATTTGCAGCAAATTAAAGGTGCTCAACCGGTTCCAACAGTTTGATTTTTTTTTTTTTTTAAGGTACAATATTATGTAGTTGCACATTTGATTCTCAGATGTGGTCCTTTATTTGCTTTAGTTCGTTGAAATCACAGTGAGAACTTCTCATCAACTGCCTCAGGCCACAGAATTAATGAAGATATTACAAGCACAATCATTCTTTACTGCAAAATCTTTCCTTAAAGAAGTGAGCCAAAGGCTAGTGTTTCATTTATTCACTTGCTGCTGTATATGAAGGAGGAATTCATAGTATGATAAGGCTGATTCTGTTCTGTCTTCAATCATATTTTGCAGAAAACTTGATTTCAATGGACTCTCATCCCTTAAAAATGAAAATAGTGTTTGAGTGAAATAAACATTTGCCAAGAGCTACAGTGCAATACATTGATAAAGTTACAGGCAAAACATTTCAAGAGCTTAAGGACATATGAAAAGTGCATCTCAAAGAGCCTTTAATAGTGATTAATCCTAGTAAGGGCACTTACCAGCATTTACTTCATTTATATGACATTACCTAAAGATTGTTCTGTGACATTTAGTCTTTTACAGTCCGTGGAAATCCTAATTTAAGACAACTCACAACAAGTCATATCTGTTGTCAAATCTGTCAGGCACAGCACACACCATCATTAAAGCTTCCATTAAGGAAGTTCAGTATATGATATCCAAATATGTATTGTTAACAGGTTCCTGAAGAAGCACAATGACTTAAAACCCACTTACTTTATTATATATACTATAGGAAAGAAAGGTCTCTGTTCTCTCAGCCAAGAAACAAAAGCTCGTGTTCTGATGGATTCTGCAGTTTCAAGTTCTGGGAGATGTGTCTAAAAGGCAAAGGGTTTCATTAAAACAAACAGGATATTTTTCAGAAAAACAATAGAATGAACTTATTGGGCATAAAGAAAACCCAGACAAATAGGTTTTGTGATGTATAGTTTCAGTCCTGTCTTCTTTGAAAGGGCTTCAAACAGTGAAGGGCACTAAACTGCTATCAGCAAATAGCTATCAGAATGATGAGTGAGCTGTGACTGATGCCTGTTTTACTGCAGACACTAAAGGATACCCCACTAACCCACTGTGCTCACTATTTGCAAGTGTTCTTGGTCTGCTCCCACAGGTCTGAGAAACTCAACCACTGTCAGCCTCTTCTTACAGCCTTTTCATGGGAATATATTCTATAAAGTTTCAGCCTGGAGAAACCCCAAGAGGTAACAGCGATTATTTCTTTCCTTGAATCTGGATTTGTACAACTAGAGGGCTAATATTTGAGTAGTGGTATTTTAGTTCTCATGACAACATTCTGGCAGCACTGTAAGGCTGGTGTTCAGCAAAGCAAGCACGTACCATATTCTGTGGTATTGAGCCATAATTTGGAACTCCAAGGACCTGGCTGATAAAACCTTGCCCACAGTTCTTCCCGACCCACAGAAACATCACCTGAAAGATACCCATCAATAACAACATTAGTCCAGCACAGAACACACCCCAGCAGTGCTCTCATAAAGTAAATTTGGATACTTTTTAAAATCTCCACCGGCACCCAACTTACAGAGCCAGCATCCATAAGGTAAGCACCATCCCTGCTCAGCTTCTCCACTGACAGCTGGAGAAGGGGTGGCTGAGGTATAGTTCTGTCATTTATGTTAAGAGCCCCCTAAAAGAAGAAGCAAGAAGAAAACCAGCAGTTCACATCTTGATGCAACAAAACAGAACAGAAGGTTAAATAACAGTAGGATGTATTACACCGAATACTGAAGCTGGACCCTTTTTCTCAGTTTAACTTAAGTCATACTTCAAGTGCATAATTTACTAAAAAATCCCAATGTTTTATTTAGAGAGGGGGTATTTAATCAACTTCATCTTGGTTAATTAGTTCTAGAACTGGAATGTCAGATTTGTTATTTCTAAAATTATTCAGGGTTTTACATAAACATTCACTGTTCACAGAAGTGCTTGACATTTTAAAATAAAGGAAGCTGCAGAGGGACAAAAGGTTAAAGCATGTGATGATGTCTTTATGTGCATGTGATTTATAGTGCAAGATAATGACATAAGGCAAAAAGTTAAAAAAGTTAGGGAAAAATCTTCCTCATCCATCCATAGCCAGAGCACAGCTTCTCTCCAGAATTCATCAATCCAGCCCCAAATAACAAATGCATAAATGCAACAAGTGGGAGAATATGAAACATTACATTTTAGCTACGCAGCTTTAATGTGGGAAACTTGGGAGCTTTTTAACACAAATTTATTCTCACATCATACAAGTCTTTGCCATCAAACAGACAGATCATGTAGCACTGCAAAGACTCACCTCATCTGTGAGAGTATCGACTCTGTACAGACTGGGATGTGTCATGAGCATGAGGTAAACAAGGGGCTGGTTTTTCACTTGACACATGGTGAAGATCCGTTCATCCAGACGTGTGTTCGTCCCAGTTTGAAATGCTTTCTGCAAACAGTCAGGCATTTAGTTTAACCATTAAAGCAAAGCCAGAGAAGCTGAATTTCACACACCATCTATTGATTATTTCCAACTTAAGTCGTAGAGATGTGCAGCAAGTATTTTCTTATGGTATTTTACTGCTGCTATTTTATATTCTCTTCGATGTTTCACGTACAAATCATACAAGTCTCCTGATTCTCATTTCTGGATTCTAGAATTAACCATGACCCAGCACCATCAATCCACTACAGCTGAGATGAAATCATCCTGCAATGTGTCCCTCTAACATACACCTTAAAAATGCTACTTGATGGAACTTAATTAACATTGGAGCAGGTAACAATTGGCTCCAGTGTTCAGAATCTTAGGTCTGGATTTACAAGAAAGAGATAGTCCTGGTTTGTTGGGACAGAGCAACAGCTATAAATTAAACAAGGGCTCACTCCTCCCAATTAATCGGGTCAAATACTTATAAAGTCTTTTAAATGAACAAGGTCAGTGTGAACATGCTGGTTAATTCCTAATCAAGAGGTATGAATCCAAAAGTTCTCTCTAAAAGAGAAAGCCAGTTTGTCCAACATTTAAAATTACTTCTAGTATGAGTTCACAGAAATTCAATTAAAAAAATTAAAACCTGTTGCAAGAACAGCCAGCCAACTGGCTCTCTTCTGATCCACACTGAACTGCTGTGTGGATCCACATTTCCAGAAAGGCACAAAAATGATTCCTGAAAAAACACTCTACCACTACCCTGCCACATTCTCTGCACTAATCATCATCTTTAATATTTTGCCGTTCCCTTGCTTAAAACATTTACACTTTTGGTTTTACATACACTTCCGAACCGAATCGTTCTCCAGCAAAGAACTCTCCTTCTACTTGGAGCTGACCTGCCAAGCAATGACCCTCTTACCTGTTTCAAGAGTGCCAGGATGTAGAGCGGGAAGAGGCGCAGGGAGTGGGGGGCGGTGAGCCCGGGCTGTTGGATGCTCAGCACCGATGCCCGGTAAGCGGACAAGGAATCGATCACTGCGTTCACCAGGGCGTCCCGAGCATCGCTCAGCGTGGCAGACACTGATCTGTCCACAGCTAAAAACAGAGCACAGAGCTCAAGTAAGAGCCTTTTCCTCCCCTGGCAGGAACACAGTCACGTACGTTAACTCTTCTCATTTTATCGTTCACTTTGATGCATCCCAAGAAGCTTTTACTGCATTCCAGAGGAAGTGACTCAGAAAAAAAGCCAGGGGCCTGTGATGATGCACCAGACTAAGCCTAAATCCAGGTGACTATACACAGCTCTACTGATACTTAAGCTAAGCATTAAAAACAATACTCTTGGGCTTTCTACTTAGAAAGTACTCTTAGAAAGTAGGAATATTTTCTTCTAAAAGATTTTTCTTTTTTTTTTTCTTCTCCTGGGGGATTATTGCTCAGAGCTTTAAGGATGGGATCCATGCATACCCACACAGGCTCTGAGCACACTTACCCATGTTGGCCAAGAGCCCAGTGATGGCCTGCACATCTGCCCCCAGGTACACATCACTCAGTGTTGTCACCACAGGTAAGCACATGGTGTGCACACGAATTCGTCTTTCACCTGCAGGAAAAGAAAACTGTTGTCTCCCAGCATACTTGTTTTATGAAATACTAAAATGCCACTGTTTGCTCAACCTAGTTTATCATACAGATGGTGAATCAGGCCATTTCCAGTAGCCCTTAAAAATGATTAGTTCTCAGTTTCTGGGTTAAGCCTACTTATTTTCAGACCAAAATTATGTTTCCCAATAAACTTCTTGGTCTGAAAGAAGCAACAATATCAACGACATACCCAAGCTGTGATCCTGATATTAAATAAGGCAGTTTGAGTAAGTTACTGCAGCTGAACTGCAGCTGATAAATGGACACAAAGACTCATGTGAACACTGCAGGTGACACCACCTGTACATCTTACCCTTGCTGGACGTGTACAGGAGAGCTGACTGGAAAGAAACAACTTGCATATCAGTCAGACTCTCTTCCACGGACATCTGCACGGCGTATCCCGCGTCCGGGTTCACGTTGGGTAACGACAACAAGTCTGTGGATCTTACGAAGAAGTTCCCATGGAAAGTATGGATGGAAAGCCCTGCAAGATAAGCAAGGATTGAATGAATCAGTTTGGGTTTCGTAGCTGTGAAATACAGACACTGTTTACACATGTGCCACCAGTGCAGATGGCTCTGGGTTGGAATGCTCCCTCTCAATGAAATACAGCATCTGCAGAAAAGGCAAATATCCCAAACACACAAGTAATCCAAAGAATCCACACAGCCTAAGAGAAAGCAGGAATTAGCAAGGCAAATCAATGCACAACAGTAGAAAGTCTCTAGGTTTTAAAAGGTCCCTTGCTGAAATAGCAGTCCAACAAAATTTCCAGTTTTAACCATTGTAAAATGGAACTTAGATGCCAGAAAATGTACTGCAAATACAGTCTTTAATAAACTGTCTGATCTCTGGTATTGAATTTGACTTTTCTAATCTCTACCTTTTAAGCATTTAAGCTTACAAATCAGCTAAAATACCAATGAAAACATTCCCAAATAACAGCAAACACCCACTTCCTCTCTGCCCCAAAAATCTAAGAAAGTGAATTCAAACCTTTTGTGCATCTTATCCTCATGACGGCCTCAAACCCAATTTTTCTAGTTAGATATCGTTTCAGCTCCTTTTGCAACTTCTCCACCTGGACAGGGTTGTGTTTATGATGGTAAGACTGGTAGTAATAGACACTACCTGCAGAATACCTGGATATACAACCTGAAACAAAACCAGCACACATTGGAGAGTGCAGACAGTTGTTGCAGCCTTTAAATATACCAGCTGAATGCAATATTTCCTTTAATTATTAAACTGCAAATCGCTCTGATGCACAGTTGTAGACCTGCATACAGAGACACAGATATAACACAACTATATCCTTAAGTATGTGTGTAGTTTCAGGTGGGAAACAATTTTCCATTGACCTGAAATTGCAGGTACTTGGTCACTTGATAGTTTAGTTAAATGGAGAAGAAAATAATTAAAATGCTAATAAAACTTACTCTAAAGACAATTACACTGACAGTTAAAAGGCATAAAAAGGAGGAAAGTATTTCAGCCACTTATACCAGTATCACAAAAATCCTGACTCACTAAGGGAGGATATGAAAGTAACTTCTATTCTAACTAAACATCATTCTATTCACTGTCACTGCTCAGCAAGGATGAATTTGCATCTTGACACATTAGATTAGTTCAAATCAGGTTCATACACTAAACTTTAATGTAGATTCTATACATTTGCCAAAAGTACAAGAGTTACACACCCCTCAACAGCTTTATATGACTTACCTAGAGAAGCCAAGTCAGAATACTGCCCACTAAGAAGAAATAAATCCACTGCAACCTGTTGCCCTGAGCAGTCCAAGGCTAACTTCTTGTAAAAATCAGTCGATGGTGTCAGGTGTATGTCCTGTCAATACAGGGCAGAATTAAAAAATACAAAGGAAATTTAAATAGATTTATTGCCTGTTTTCAGGGGCACAAATAACTGATTCTCCATCACTGATTACAGCAATATTTAAAAAAAAAAAAAATCAGATAATTAATCTGTGTTTATATTGCCTGGTTGGCTTTTTTGTTCTTTCTACCAAGAAAACCACAAAATTAACCCAGAACAGGCAATCCCAGAACTACCCAAATGCACAGAACAAGGCTGCCAGTTCCCTCAACCTTTTCTGCTTTCCTAACCTTTGCAGTTGCTCTTTGGTTTGGCTCTTCTCGTGGCTTCAGTGCTCCCATTCCCACAGTGGGAAGCTGCGTCTGGAAGACAGTGATTCTACCTCCAGTGGGGGACATGAGTTTAAAGGCAGCCTGTAATGCAGGCCCCAGAGCACTCTGAGTTTCCAGGGACTTGGTAAACATCTGTGGCAAGGTCTTCAACAGATCTTGAATTAGCTACAAGTGAGGAAACACAAGTATTAAGTCTCGGAGTCTTCAGAGTTTTCTTCTTTCTAGAGCTGATTGCTGAACTACATAACTGTGTATTACCACTTCTAATATCAAGGTAGTAAAGAAAAAGTCCTAGAAAATTGAAGTACTGCCTTGTTTAAAGTTGGCCAAAGTTTACTGAGTCACACAGATAAAACCTCTCTTTTCTGCCTCAAACCTGGCATTTGAACAGTAGGTGTTCAAAAGCATTAAGTAATCCAAGAATTACCAAACATATCCCAAACTATGTGAACGTCACTAGTTAAGATAGTTCTTAGCTCTTACCTCTTTATTTTCATTTAAATTTACTAATAAGTTTTCAGGCATTGGTATAAATACATCTGGAAGGGAAAAAAAAGTATTTCAGTTATCTTTAAAGAACACTTCCCTGACTGTATTTGCCAACCATTGAAAAAAGCACAGGGTGTCAGCATATAAACCCATGTAAACATAATTATGTGGATTTCTTTTTTTTTTTCCTCATAAGCATTCCTGTGGCTAGAATGCTATGTCAGAGTAGCAATCGACAGGGCTGAAGGATAATCAAGACTATTAAGTAAAACCACAGAGCAAATAATTGCAGTGTTCATTCCACCCTGCCCCACAACGTGCTGAAGGGTGACTTGAAATGAAAGGCAGCAGGACCAGCACTAAGCACCAGTCACCAGGAAATCTATACAAATGTACCCAGCATCAGCATTTGGGACCTCAAGAGGAATCCAGATAATTGTCCAAATTAAACTAGGAGTTAGGAAGGCTGGCTGCACGTGTTAAGTCATGAGCAGCCCCAGCACTGCTCAGGGAGACATCAGGGAGATGACTTCATAAAGGAACACACACATGTGCTACTCCTAAAGGCATTACCAGAGAGATGAATGATCTGACCTACAAACTCTCACAAGATATATGTATTTTTAAAGGCTGTCATAACAGGCAGTCATTAGTAGATACTAATCACAGAATTTATTTCTGCATACCTTCAATATCTGAAACTATAAGCATCTGAGGCTGAGAGAGACCTTCCTGAAGGCTGTAGAAATGGATTGTGCTGTCAAATGTTATGAAGCCTATTTTTGTTCTAGTGTTCCCAGGAAGCCTGAAAATGAGACATATGGTGTTCAACAAGATGAAATTTCATTTCTGCAGGCTTTTTTTTATTTTTAAACATCCACTGCATCCCTCCTTGGTTATTACAAAGTAGCTTCACAGCTACACTGCAAAAGCTTGACTAAGTCATTGTGGAGATTTAAAAAAAAACCCCAAACAACAAAAAAGTAGCTCATAGCAAAGTCACCTAGCAGACATGCAGGAACCTTAGGAGGGCAATCAGAAATGCAAAAGGGAGGAATAAACTGCAAAATACCAAGCAGCATTTATATATGTTCAAAGAGCATGTATTTTATGAAAAGTTTATTAGCTGTATGAACTCTTTCAGCAAATGCTTATCTAAATTTCAGCTTTTAAAAAATACAGTTCAAAAGATCTCATAAACATGATGGGGATTGGTGAAGTGGGGATTGGTGAAGCAGACAGGAGAGTCAGACTGAAAAACAAGCCTCAGAATTATCTTTTATACTGGTGCAGCTGTGATGGGAAAAAAGACTGCAGCTTTATGGCCCATTTTAACACACCACTGGCCATCACCAGGACATATCTCTCCTAGACAGGAAGGACTGGCACGTTGGTGTCTATTACAAATTTCTTAAGAGGAATGAAAATAGGAGATTTTAAGGAAAAAAGTACTTACAAGTCAAGATTGTCCAACAAGGTCTGGCAGACTGTATTCAAGTATCCTGTCTCAATTGCATTGTGAGAGACATCAAACACAAAGAGGTACACGGGTGGCTGAGGTGGACGCAGCTGAGCAAAGAAAAGATTACCTTTAATTTTCAAATAACACTCACTACATTAGGTTTGTCCATTCCACTGCAAGTTTAAACTCTTAAAACAGCACA